AAAATGTAAATAGCCAGCCCTCCCAGTGGAATTCGCGCCAAAGTCTTTCGCCTTGGCTTGAAATTCAATTTTAAAGAGGTCCTGGGGGCCGCGGGTAAACTCCGAGATTTTGGGCTTAAACCGATGCCGGAAACGGAATCGCAATGGCAATGGCAATCGCAATCGGAATCGGGGGTCTTAAGTGCGATTAGGCAATTAAATGTGAAACGGAACGCAAACGTATTTGCTATTTGGTTAACGTAATTCGTTGGTGGTCGCTTGGCTTTTCCGGCGGCACCCTTCTTCGCCTTCTTTTCAGCTTTTCTGCTTTTCCATCGCATCGCCCAGCTCTGTCAACACTTTGTTTGCCATCCCGGCATTATAATAATATATAAATATAATGGCAGTAAATTCTGGCTCACGCACACAGATGCACAGACACAGTGGCAGCCATCTTGGCTTTGGCGTCTGTCTTATAACGGTAACCAAGTCAACTGTGCTTGTATTTGTGTGTGTGTGTGGCAAGCGGAAGTGCGGCATATTTTCCGCTTAAAACGCCACAATGTGCTCGACATTGTGTGTTTTGCGAGGGGGTTGGGCGATGGAAGTGGGATGGGAATGGGGGGCACAGCCACAAAAGCGGAGTCACAATTTATTCGCATATTTTTTATTATTTTTCTCTTTATTGTCCCGGGCATAAAGCTCATGTGAACCGTCGCACACCTCGGTAAGCCGACAGGACGACAGGAGGACAGTGCGGATTGCACAAGTCGCAGCAATTAAATGCTTTAAATTAATGTTGAATAAAAGTTACGACGGCCAATAACCGTATTCGGAAATTGTCTGTGGCACATTTACGCCCAGATTCGGCGCTCTTAAAGTGCTTCCAATTAATCCAAACTAATATTTTCTTGGCTGCATTGAGTTAGATTTAATGTATATACTTAAAGGATAGACCACAAATTCCGTGACACATATTGGTGTAAAAAACATTATTATTATACTGTAGAAGGTGGTGGTCTCCTTCAAAAAAATGTTAGAAAATTTCTCTTAAGAATATTAATGAAGAAATTTCTTGGCGGTTGGCCATTGTAAGTGTAATCCGACTAATTGGATGGTCTTAAGGAAACTGCAACTTAATAAATTCATAAAATGTTACAGCTTACCCTTTTTCACAGAAATTCAGCCAGTAAGTTAAAATATCTTAGTAATTTTCACATAAATATATATTTAATATTTTGTTTACAAAATGTAAGTAATAAATTCCGTGCCAACTGAAAACTCTACAATTTCCACAGCTGCTGTTTATTTTTCCCTGCAAATGATTGATGATTGCCGGCCGTCACAAAGGTTTATACTGGGCCACTGATTAATAAGTTGCCTAGCTGCCATTTTTATCGAATGGCCAGGTGAAGGAGAGTCCATCGACTGACAGCTGCTGCATTCCAGAGTCTGTCTGCTGCTGCTTTCAATTTAAGTTGACTGAAAGAAGGCTCCTGTGAAGTTGCTTCGACAAAGGAGCTGCAACGCCTTTGGGGCGAATTCACTTGCTCTTTGGAATTGCAGCCAGTTGCACTGGGCTGCCGCTGCCAGGCGAGGATTTCATCTCCTATTTCGGAATCGGATCCAGGAATCCGAACAGAAGCTGGCTTTCAATAAGAACAGAACATGGCCAGCCATCGAAAAATTGCAGTGCATGCACGGACAGACTCTTATTATGCATTTCTGGGAATTGAAAACAAGATACCTCTGCCTTCGGGCCAATTACGAACGGGTCAGAGGCTTAGCGAAGCAACCAGTTGCCAATTTGGGCCAATTACACACAATAGAGGTAAAGGGAAAAAACTTTATCTAAGTATCTACTAATAATAGAATAGTGCCTATTAAAAACGGGAAGTCGAACAGGCAGCAAAAACGGTGGGGCTTTAAAATCTACAAAATATAAGAGAAATTCTGAATTATGCCGAAATCAAAGTTGGTAAAAGTATTTGAAATCTTTTGCTAAATTTTAGCATTTTTAACTTAACTTTTATAAAATTATTCCCAGCTTAATTTAAAACTTTTTTCTCCATGTCCATAAATTCCACTGGCAATATCAAGTTGCATCTTATTTTGCACAAATTGCAGCTAATAAGTGCAAAATGCAGAATGTAGCACTTTGTGGTTATCTGCTCTTGTGTCCGGTGTTTCTGCGAAAACTTTTGCGGCCGACTAACTTAGTTTAGCCCGAAAATGAAGCTGTACAAATTGTTTACGAAATCCAATTAATTATGACCCTCGCCGTTCCTGTTGCTGTTGATGTAGTTGTTTTGGTGTCGACTTTGTGCTTTTGTCCATGACAGAGTGTCCAATTAGTGCTTTGTGATGAAACGCTGACCGTGGTTTTCGCCCGGTGCCATTGAAGGACCTGTGCGCATTAGGATTTCCCTCTAAATTGAATTCAATTAAATGCTATACATTTGCTTTGCAAATCCAATTATGATGTTTTTAGGCAAAATAATGCTAAGCATTACAGAATTTTAAATGTATTTTATATTACATAATTCATTTTTTTTTAGAGATTTTATTTAATTTGTTATGCTGCTCAGAAAAAATATATTTTTAAATCATTATTTTGTCATTTGTATTATTAAAATAATATTTTAAAATATCTTTTAAACTACAGTACAAATCCTACTCACCAGTAAAATAAATTGCTGACCTTTCAGTTCTATGGAAACATAAATTAATATGGAAGCCGCTTGCATATTGCATTCTCAAATTACTTGTAATTCTTTGACCAATACTTTCTATCAGGAATCCACTTTGATTTTGATTTAATTGGGAATGCCTTCCAATTTCTGTAGGCTGGCTAATTTCGACTGTATTAGACGAGGCACACGGTGAATTTTCCGAGAAATAGCATTCGGCAGGCCGCAGGACTGCCACTCGACGTTCGCTGCTCCCTCTACATGTCACTGGAATTTGATCAGGAGTTAATTATTTGCCTTGTGTCGGCGGACATGGCCGCCTGACATGCTGCATTTTGCCATTGTCCTCGCGCGAGTCAAAAGAGCATCCAATTTCCATTGTGCATTTGCCATTTGCCATTCATGTTCATCACAATGCAGTCCATAATTTGATTAGTGCCTCCAGGAGATTCGCCGAATCCGACATGCTCTGGGAGTATTATAAAAAAAATTCAAAAAATATGTGGCCGACGCTTAATATTATTTGCTGTGGAATCCGTTCCAGCCTAGAAGGCATTTTTGCTGAATTTTAGTTCTTTGTTCTTTGAATCTACGTTTTTCTAACATTTCACTGAATTTTATGCTGTAAATTAAATAATAATAACAAAATATAAATTAAATATTCAGTTTTTACCGCAATTGTTTCTAAATATTTAATATTTTTTTGTGTCTCGTTTAATTTAATGTATTAACTAATGTGCCTTCTTTTAAGTGAGTGCGTCAAATAAGCTGAGAGCCATAAATTAACAATATAAGGGCAGATAAAGGAGTTTGACATTTTTTTCCAAAAAAAATAATGATATACTTAATAAAATACGATTAATATTGAAACAATTTTTAAAAGAAATTAGCTTAAAATAGGCTTTAAGAAATACAATTAAAATGTATATTTATTGACTTTACTTTCCCCCCTCGCTGTGTGGGCAGAAATGTTTAATTTTCACCAGAAATTGAAATAAGCAAACACGAGCCATCGAAACACAATGAATTCAAATTATGACAACGCCTCCTGTCAGAGCCAATCAATGGCTTATTATTTGATCAAATGCGATGTAAAAAGAATATCATATCTCGTTAATTAACGACACGAATAATTTATGGAACAGCATTAAAAACAAGCTTCAAATATCCATGTGCCAGCAAAAAGAAAAACGTGGTAAATTGCGGCATTAAATTAGTTGGAATATTAATTAAAATGCCAAATGCTGAACGCAGTATGCAGAAAAAATAATTACCAAGTGAAATTGTAATCAAAATTTGTCAGCTCATTAATTTTAGCTAAAACCAAACAGGAGGTCAATAATATTCATATTAATAATTTGCGACAACTACTAGAATGTCGCATTTTTATATTGGCTATATTGGGAAACTCATGCAATCAGCATAATTAACATGCTTTTGGTATTACAATACTTTAAAATCATATAATCTTAGGCCCAATTGTAAATTAAATAAACTCGCTAATTGGCAAAAGTAGGAGACTTACAAAAATATTTATACTTTTAAAATTGCATTTTTTGGACTTTATTTTGCGGTGCACCTAAATATTTTAGGTGCCTTATGTAGTCAAAAGGTAATTGAATTATATAAATATATATATTTTTAATATTTATAAATACTTAAAAATCTTTATAAAATACGAAATACAAATACAAAAAAAGTTAAACAAGAAAGGAAGCTAACTTCGGCCAGTCGAAGCTTATATACCCTTGCAGATAAAGTAATGCTCACTCGGTGCAGTTCCAGGGATTCCAGATTCAGCGTATATATTTTAATTTTCTTTATACATAAGTAGTCAAGAATCAAAACGACTACTTCCTACAAAGTTACAATGAATTTTCTTATATTTGTTTGAATATTCCTATGGAAGCCTTAAGATATAGTGGTCCGATCCGGCTCGCTCCGACATATGTACTACCTGCAATAGAAAGAAAACTTTCGGGAAAGTTTCATCGCGATAGCTTTAAAACTGAGAGACTAGTTCGCATAGAAACGGACAGACGGACAGACGGACAGACGGACAGACGGACAGACGGACAGACAGACAGACGGACAGACGGACAGACGGACATGGCTAGATAGACTCGGCTATTGGTGCCGATCAATAATATATATACTTTATACGGTCGGAAACGTCTCCTTCACTGCGTTGCAAACATCTGACTGAAATTATAATACCCTCTACAAGGGTATAAAAAAAAAGTTTTATAATAGTCTCTTTCTTTATCAACATTATTGTAAAGTAGGCTTTTAGTTTCTAATTTTTGTTGAATACTTACAATCGACCAAAACTTTCTTACCGAGCTGTGTTTCCCTTTTGATCAGTTTTAACCAAATTCCCGTAAAACTAAGGATGTTCCGCCAGCATAAAAGCATCAACGTGTATGTGCCGCCGATGAGTAGTTTTCCGGAACCCAGTTTGCTGGGCGGCTATGGACTGGAGGATCGCATGGAGGTGCCCAAGTCGACGGAGGTCCCTGAGGATGTCCTCGCGGGTCGGGAGGAGCCGCACTTCCTCTACGTAATCGACAGCCGGGGACGTCTTTTGGAGCACATTCGATACTACGGGGACGATTACCGGATGGCCCTGCGGGAGGCCTTCGCCTCGAAGAATGTTCCGCTGAGTGATGCAGATTTTAGAATGGACCCAAGTCGGGAATCGCAGAACGAAAATTCCTGCCCGTGGCTCCCCAAATAAGTAAATTAATTGATCAAAATTGCAAGCAAAAATTCTATAAAACTCCTGGCTTGTTTTTGGTCATAGGGAAACTCATGAATAAATGAAATAGTTTATAAAATTAAATGTTATATATATTTAATTGGGGTATATTACCTTTTTGTCTTGAGATTTCTTTAGTCGAAAGTTATAATTAAAAAGTATTTGTGAAAACAATCCACATATTTGTGCAATGAAATACAAAATCGTAATGAAGCGCAAATTAAGAGGCTGTTCTATTTGGTTGGAATTTCTGTTAAAGCACTCTTGATTTATTTTTTTTGGACCTTGTTATGCATGCGGTGAAACGCATTTCGAATCATACATATTTGTACAACAGATGAGCCACTTCAACGAATTTCAACGAATTTTTCCCCCCTATTTCACTCGTACGAAGGGCAGATGAAAAAGTTTGTATTTACTTTCTGGTCACAATTTGTGAAAAACGAATGCGGTATTTTTTCTTTTCGTTGTTTAAAAGAGTTGAAAGTTGAAAAATGAAAAATGAAGAGTGGAAAGTGGAAAACGAATTACATTTGCATCGGCATGTGTTGGGCATGCAGATGGAATCAGTATATGTATCTGTATCTCTATTTGCATGTGCTTCTGCAAATGAATCTGTATCTGCATCTGTAAATGTATCTGCAGGTATTTGCGTGAGTTACTTCCTTGCATAATGGTGTTTTTATGGCCAGGGGTTTTAATGCGTTGCTGATTCTCACTAGAAATATGTAAAGCTCTGTTTTCACAACTGGAGAAATAAAATGCGTGGCAAGGCTTCGGATAACAGTATATTTAGAAAAAGTGCTTTAATGATTTTATCTTAATTAATAATCTTTAGTTATTTGATTCAAATTTATTAGATAAACTAAATTATGGAATACCACAAAATATAGAATAAAACACAGAAAATTTGGCTTATACCAAAAATGCATAAATTTTACTTTCTGTGTAATTTTGCAATAATAACATTTTGTTTTTTTGCGAAATATGTAAAACAAAATAATATGTCTAGGTTTAAATGACAATCGTTAGGAAATTTAATAACGAGTTCAGAAAGGTATGACAGTCCATATTTTAAATAAGTTTTTACTTTGTTTTAGCGAAAAAACCGGTTTTTGTCTTTTTTTGAAAATTCGGGATTTCACTTTTGACAAAAATTGGAATTTTTTCTTTTGGTTTTTTTGCTGTAACTTGGCCAAAAATGGTCCTACACCAAAAATGCATACTGTTTTGAGCAGATAACAGAATTATCTATAAATCCATAACACTTTCCGTGTGATTTGGGGAAAATAAAATTTTTGCCAATTTTTCATTTTTTTGTAAGGGGGTACCCCATGATTTTTTGCAAAAAATTAAAAATAAATAAAATGTCAAGGTTTAAATGCCACTTGTTAGGAAATTTAATAACGAGTTCAGAAAGGTATGACAGTCCATACTTAAAATCAGTATTTGCTTTGTTTTAGCGAAAAAACCGGTTTTTGTTTTTTTTGAAAATTCGGGATTTTAGTTTTGGGCAAAAATTGGAATTTTTTCTTTTGGTTTTTTTGCTGTAACTTGGCCAAAAATGGTCCTACACCAAAAATGCATACTGTTTTAAGCAGATAACAAAATTTGCAATAAATCCATAAAACTTTCCGTGTGATTTGGGGAAAATAAAATTTTCGCCAATTTTTCATTTTTTTGTAAGGGGGTACCCCATGATTTTTTGCAAAAAATTAAAAATAAATAAAATGTCAAGGTTTAAATGCCAATCGTTAGGAAATTTAATAACGAGTTCAGAAAGGTATGACAGTCCATACTTTAAATCAGTATTTGCTTTGTTTTAGCGAAAAAACCGGTTTTTGTTTTTTTTTGAAAATTCGGGATTTCAGTTTTTGGCAAAAATTTGAATTTTTTCTTTTGGTTTTTTTGCTGTAACTTGGCCAAAAATGGTCCTACGCCAAAAATACATACTGTTTTGAACAGGTAACAAAATTTGCAATACTTTCCGTGTGATTTGGGGAAAATAAAATTTTCGCCAATTTTTAATTTTTTTATAAGGGGGTACCCCATAATTTTTTGCGAAAAATTAAAAATAAGTAAAATGTCAAGGTTTAAATGCCAATCGTTAGGAAATTTAATAACGAGTTCAGAAAGGTATGACAATCCATACTTTAAATCAGTATTTGCTTTGTTTTAGCGAAAAAACCCGTTTTGTTTTTTTTTTGGAAATTCGGGATTTTAGTTTTTGACAAAAATTGAAATTTTTTCTTTTGGTTTTTTTGCTGTAACTTGGCCAAAAATGGTCCTACGCCAAAAATACATACTGTTTTGAACAGGTAACAAAATTTGCAATAAATCCATAAAACTTTCCGTGTGATTTGGGGAAAATAAAATTTTCGCCAATTTTTAATTTTTTTATAAGGGGGTACCCCATAATTTTTTGCGAAAAATTAAAAATAAGTAAAATGTCAAGGTTTAAATGCCAATCGTTAGGAAATTTAATAACGAGTTCAGAAAGGTATGACAATCCATACTTTAAATCAGTATTTGCTTTGTTTTAGCGAAAAAACCCGTTTTGTTTTTTTTTTGGAAATTCGGGATTTTAGTTTTTGACAAAAATTGAAATTTTTTCTTTTGGTTTTTTTGCTGTAACTTGGCCAAAAATGGTCCTACGCCAAAAATACATACTGTTTTGAACAGGTAACAAAATTTGCAATAAATCCATAAAACTTTCCGTGTGATTTGGGGAAAATAAAATTTTCGCCAATTTTTAATTTTTTTATAAGGGGGTACCCCATAATTTTTTGCGAAAAATTAAAAATAAGTAAAATGTCAAGGTTTAAATGCCAATCGTTAGGAAATTTAATAACGAGTTCAGAAAGGTATGACAATCCATACTTTAAATCAGTATTTGCTTTGTTTTAGCGAAAAAACCCGTTTTGTTTTTTTTTTGGAAATTCGGGATTTTAGTTTTTGACAAAAATTGAAATTTTTTCTTTTGGTTTTTTTGCTGTAACTTGGCCAAAAATGGTCCTACGCCAAAAATACATACTGGTTTGAACAGGTAACAAAATTTGCAATAAATCCATAAAACTTTCCGTGTGATTTGGGGAAAATAAAATTTTCTCCAATTTTTAATTTTTTTATAAGGGGGTACCCCATGATTTTTTGCAAAAAATTAAAAATAAATAAAAGGTCAAGGTTTAAATGCCACTCGTTAGGAAATTTAATAACGAGTTCAGAAAGGTATGACAGTCCATACTTTAAATCAGTATTTGCTTTGTTTTAGCGAAAAAACCGGTTTTTGTTTTTTTTTGAAAATTCGGGATTTCAGTTTTTGACAAAAATCGGAATTTTTTCTTTTGGTTTTTTTGCTGTAACTTGGCCAAAAATGGTCCTACACCAAAAATACATACTGTTTTGAACAGATAACAAAATTATCTATAAATCCATAAAACTTTCCGTGTGATTTGGGGAAAATAAAATTTTCGCCAATTTTTAATTTTTTTATAAGGGGGTACCCCATAATTTTTTGCGAAAAATTAAAAATAAGTAAAATGTCAAGGTTTAAATGCCAATCGTTAGGAAATTTAATAACGAGTTCAGAAAGGTATGACAATCCATACTTTAAATCAGTATTTGCTTTGTTTTAGCGAAAAAACCCGTTTTGTTTTTTTTTGGAAATTCGGGATTTTAGTTTTTGACAAAAATTGAAATTTTTTCTTTTGGTTTTTTTGCTGTAACTTGGCCAAAAATGGTCCTACGCCAAAAATACATACTGGTTTGAACAGGTAACAAAATTTGCAATAAATCCATAAAACTTTCCGTGTGATTTGGGGAAAATAAAATTTTCTCCAATTTTTAATTTTTTTATAAGGGGGTACCCCATGATTTTTTGCAAAAAATTAAAAATAAATTTTTTTTTTTTTTGAAAATTTGGGATTTCAGTTTTTGACAAAAATCGGAATTTTTTCTTTTGGTTTTTTTGCTGTAACTTGGCCAAAAATGGTCCTACACCAAAAATGCATACTGTTTTGAGCAGATAACAAAATTATCTATAAATCCATAAAACTTTCCGTGTGATTTGGGGAAAATAAAATTTTCGCCAATTTTTAATTTTTTTGTAAGGGGGTACCCCATGATTTTTTGCAAAAAATTAAAAATAAATAAAATGTCAAGGTTTAAATGCCACTCGTTAGGAAATTTAATAACGAGTTCAGAAAGGTATGACAGTCCATACTTTAAATCAGTATTTGCTTTGTTTTAGCGAAAAAACCGGTTTTTGTTTTTTTTTGAAAATTCGGGATTTTAGTTTTTGACAAAAATTGGAATTTTTTCTTTTGGTTTTTTTGCTGTAACTTGGCCAAAAATGGTCCTACACCAAAAATGCATACTGTTTTGAGCAGATAACAAAATTATCTATAAATCCATAAAACTTTCCGTGTGATTTGGGGAAAATAAAATTTTCGCCAATTTTTAATTTTTTTGTAAGGGGGTACCCCATGATTTTTTGCAAAAAATTAAAAATAAATAAAATGTCAAGGTTTAAATGCCAATCGTTAGGAAATTTAATAACGAGTTCAGAAAGGTATGACAATCCATACTTTAAATCAGTATTTGCTTTGTTTTAGCGAAAAAACCCGTTTTGTTTTTTTTTTTGGAAATTCGGGATTTTAGTTTTTGACAAAAATTGAAATATTTTCTTTTGGTTTTTTTGCTGTAACTTGGCCAAAAATGGTCCTACACCAAAAATACATACTGTTTTGAACAGATAACAAAATTATCTATAAATCCATAACACTTTACGTGTGATTTTGAAAAAATAAAATTTTCACCCATTTTCAAGTTTTTATAAGGAAGAAAAATGTAAAAAAAAAACAAAATGTCCAGGCTTAAATGCCAATCGATTGAAAATTCAAAAATTCATACTGTATTGAGCAGATTAGAATATAATAATTAAATTAAGTAAATTAAATTAAATAATAAAGTCCGATAACTGAGCTTGCACAAGTATAACGTATTCGACCCGTTGCCCCTAACCT